CTAAATTGCTGTCTCTAAAAAACCAAGTGCTTTCAAGACAAGGCTAGTAACATTGCATTCCATTCCTATCCCCATTACTCAATAATTTCTACCATGTGAAAGAATTCCCAGATGATAGGGAGTGAGCATAAATTTAACACATTAATGATAGTCCATGCAAAATATATGTGCCCATTATCATTTTAATGAATTGATAAATGTTTGAAAATACAAAGGAATTGTTGCTTTTGTTAGAAATTGCTTAATAGGTAATAAATACTCGCTCTGCTTTAGATTTGAGTTTCTTTACAATGTTTAGACTAAAATGTTTTTGTAGTATTAAACCTTGAGGCTGAGTTTCCCATAAAGGTAAAAATGTTTTAGAAATCTGTGTACTATAAAATTAAAATAATAAAGCAGTTATGTCAATAAAAGTGAATCAATACAATCATACTAGCCTTGAGTAAGAAAACATTAGCTGTTGTCACAGAAAACATTAGCTCAAACACAGTCACAAAAGTCATTCAGCTGTTTTCTCAGTTATATGAGATAAGACTCAGTTCATTTCTGTATAAAACAATTTTAGAAAAGAAGGCTTACATATTTCCCAAGGAAATGTTAACAAAAGTAAAACTTTGAACTTCTGGAGCATCATTTATATCCTTGTAATTCTGCAGCAATGATGCCTTCCTTCAAACAGGATACACCAAGTGTTTAACACATTAATTATCATCCTTCATCAAGCATAAAACTAATAGTCAGGAAATACAGCTGCAATGGCACAATTACTAACACACTTAGAATACACCCTAAAGCAAAGAAAACAAATGGGTTGCTTTTCATTAACAGAGCTTGGCAAACCTCTCCAAAGACAATGTTTTCTTTCCAGTCAGAGTCCCAAAAGGCATTTAAGGGGTTATTTACTTAGGTAAACTGAAAGAACAAATAAATTGTGATAATATTTACTTAAAACATTCATTAATATACAATGCTGCTTTATAAGAAAAGCATATCTTAAAGATGACTTGATCAACTGAAAAATCTTATAAATACAAAGTACTTGTTTTTATAAAAAATATTGGTGCAAGAGGGTCAGAAGTTAAGTTGTATTTTCATTTTTTATCAGGATACATAGGTACTAATGGATTTTTATTGTCACATTTCATGATAAAACTTGATACTTGATAATACCTTTCCTTCTATATAATAATGAATTGGTTAAGGGAAGGATTCAATTATGTAAGATTTGAGTCCACAGGATAAAATACACTATTAGCATGAAATTCCAATATAACATGTCATAATTGAAAGCTTAGAGGAATAATGTTCTATAGGGGTAATAAAAGCATAGTTTATTTCGTTGGTTTGTGGACACTTAACATTCTTAATAAGACCATAAACTATTATTTTAAGGGATATACTACTCCTACTAAATTTATATAACAATTAAACCATAATTCAAAGAAGACTCCAGAGATAAAAAAGGCAAAGGATAGTCATCTGTCTAAAGTATTTATGTTTTATAATTATGTCCTGACCAACTACCATCAGTAAATTCTTTGAACAGAAATCCCAAACAGCTTGATCCTCTTTTTATGACATATATCATGGCAAAATCGAAGGAGTCACCTTTTCTTCAGCATGAGACGCTAGAGATACAAGTAGGGATCCCTTTATGATTCCATGGCACATTTTCAATTTAGAGATTTTAGGCATTGTTCTTAATTTGTAGCAAAGTCAGACCCAAAGTTCTTCTGAATTGTATTTGGCATAGGAATCAATTAATCTTCCTCTTAGCCAATTATAGTAATATATACAGTTGTCTTTCAAAAGATAGCAATAATCATTAAAATTATATTTAATATAAAAAAGAATCAGATGTACAATCACACCCAGATGCCTAGCACTCCATGCCTTCTCAAAGAAAAATCCACAGGATTATTCTGCTCAGGGTCCATGTAAGAATTTTTAATAGCACGAGTTATAATAATTTAGCCAATCTTCCTTGCTCAGGATGGCTGCTTCTGAAGGTGCTGACAGCAGCAGTAGATCATAAGGAAGGATGCAGTCTCTTGCAGCAAAGACACAGCCAGAGTGAAGAGGAAGGCTGAAGATGCAAAATACTTGGCTGGACTACAGGGGTAAGTAAGAAATAGAGAGTTCCTCCCCTCAATGGCTCATAGTCCAGTTGTGGAAGCAAGCAAAAAAGTATTGTCTGAATGTGTTCACCATGTCAGCAAGCACCAATAAATGGGCTAGTGACCAGTTGAAGGTCGGATTCTGAGGAAGTGTTCTTACTGGAGTAAGGACGAGTGCATCATAAAGAGGACACTGTTTTGAGTTTCTTTCGGGACCTTCACTTAAAGTTACCTAGAGAGAAGAAAAGGGACATGGAGGCACAGGGCCTCTCTGAAAAGACCACAGGGAGTAAGAATAGCACAGCTCCTCACTGCCCCAGAGCAGAAAGCAGATAAAAAGCCTGTAGCCCAGCACCATAATGCCCCTAAAGTGACACCAATAGCCAAGATATTTATTAGTTGTTGACTCAGACTCAGTTGTGGTACTGAGAATGGGGTTTATTAGGGAAGTAAGTTGGAGAGGATATTACCCAATATAAGTTCAGATTTTAGCCCAATTACTCTAAGCTGTGGTTTCAGTTCAGCAGTCAAATCTAAATCATCCAGTAAGGTTTGCCTCAGAGAAGTTGTAAGCCAGCTTCTCCTTCAAGACCCTGGTAATAATACTAAAAACCTTTAACTGTGGCCAGCATAAATGCAAGAAGCCTCAAGTCACACCTTGCCACAGTTTGTCTCTAGCAATGCCACAGTCTCTCCATCACCATCACCAAGGTCTCACTGCCACAAGTCTTGCTCACCTTAAGTCTTGCTGCCCAGAGTGGGAAACACTTTTTCTCTTATCCTAGTCCCTCAACTGTTGATGATTTGCAAGACCATGCTGATTTGTAAGACCAAGTGTCTGCAGTTAATGTAGCTGGAGACCAGATGGGGCTTACTGTAACAGCTAAAAATGTGCAACTTTTAGGCTGACATCACAAAAGTGGCTTAGTGCTTTTGAAAAGGAAATGTAATTAAAAATACCGCATAAATTAAAGGAGATTTGAGGCCAAGAACAACAAAGCAGCTTGAAGTTTCAAAAAGCAAAAGTATTAAGGCATAAATTTGAAGCAAGATGATTTCAAAGTGAACTCAAATCAGTTCTCCTCTAGTTCCTTATCTTTCAGATATGACCTAGCAACAAAACTTGATGTTATCTCCATTCCTAAAATTCTTTTGGAACTAAAAAATCACCTCTTTATCTTGATATGCATTCACTCCAGCAACCATTATTATGTTGTTGTTATGTTCCATAAAATCTGAACCAACTCAGAGCTTAGCCCTCCAGCTGGTTTTCAGTCTTTTAATCAGATGGGAGGAGACTCCTCATCTTTCTCCTGGAGCAGGTGGTGGATTTGAATCATCTACCTGATTGGAAAGGGCATATGCCAGGGATGTGTCCTGTCTCCATACCTTTTCAACCTGTATGCAGAACAGATTATCTGGGAGGCTGGGCTCTATGAGGAGAAATGTGGGGTCAAGATTGGTGGAAGATCTATCAACAATCTGCGTTATGCAGATGACACAACCCTGCTTGCTGAAACTGAGGAGGACCTGAAGCGCTTGCTGCAGAGGGTCAAGGACTATAGTCTCCAATATGGATTGAGGCTCAAGTCAAGAAGACAAAGATTCTCACCACTGGACCAACTGGCAGCATCAGGATGGACAGTGAAGAGATTGAGATTGTTCACAGCTTTAGTTTGCTTGGCTCCACAGTCAACACTCTCAGCACCAGTAGCCAGTAAATTAAAAGATGTGTTGCGATGGGAAAGTCTCCAAAGTACTGAAGAGCAATGGTGTCTCTCTGGAGACTAAGGTGCACCTGATACAGGCCAGGGTCTTTGCTATCACTTGGTATGCATCAGAGAATTGGACAGTGACTAAGGAGGATAGAAGGAGACTTGATGCCTTTGAGCTGTGGTGCTGGAGAAGAGTATTGAGGGTACCATGGACTGCTAGGAAAACAAACAGGTTCATCCTGGAAAGGGTTAAACCAGGCAGCTCTCTGGAGGCAAGGATTCTGAGGCTCCATCTAATAGACTTTGGACATATTGTAAGGTGGTGGGACTGGACCTTGGAGAGGGACATCATGCTTGGGAGGGTGGAGGGACAGCCCAGGAGGGGAAGACCCTCTATGCTGTGGATTGATTCAGTGACTGGGGTAATCGGGATGGGTATATCGGAGACAGTGCAATTGGCACAGGACAGAGCAGAGTTTAGGGCTGTTGTACATAGGGTCGCTATGAGTCGCAAGCAACTTGACAGCACATAACAACAACCACCTGCCTTTGGGTTGGCAGTATAATTCCTTACCCACTAGGCAACCAGACCTCCATTAGAAAGAAAAAGAAAACCTTAAGTTCCAAATACTGAGAATCAGACATTGAACCTCTGTCTCTTTTAAAATAAGAAATCTTGTCATTTAAAGTTGCATTTTCAATGATAAAATACTGCTATAATCATGTGGTCAAGTCCAATCCTATGTTGGATTATAGTCTCATAGTAACAATATTTGTCATAAATAGGCAAGAGAGAAAAGAAATACCTTTTCAAGTGAGCTTATATAGAGTTGATAATTAAAAAGTAACCCAGTATACTGGACTTGTGCAATCTTCTCTTGAGCAATGCCAAACAAGTATTTCAAAGGAGACCAACCATTAAGCTCATATTCACCACAAAAATTCATTTCTCAGTAAAATGCACTACAAGGTTTGATCTGTGTTATGGAGCACAGTGAAGGATCACTGGACTGAACATTCATACCATAAAAGACTCTACCAGAAGCATCGTTCTCTCTGATATTTGGAATTTGTTAAAATGATGATGTTTGCTGCCTGGAACACCATATACTATAAACACAACTTTTACTTTTGTAAGGTTTTCTAAAGGCCTCTCTAGCTTTCATACCTTTAATGTTGTGAATTCATATGGTTGATAACCTTTGAAGCTCTCATGGATGGCTGCCATGGTATGAGAAGTTTTCTCCCAAAAATGAAGCAGAGTAGTCTGTGAAGAAATACATTAAAGCCATGATGCTGCAAATTCCCAGTTCTGGGCACAAGTCTCCAAAGTGTGCCCACCTGTGGCTTTCAAAGCCATCTAGAATATGATGTAACTCACCACTACTGCCTTATTTCCCATGTCTACACCTGTATTTCAACCAAATGAAATAGCTGCCCCACAACACTGCCTCCTGTGGTTTATATAGCTCCCACCACCTGGAATGCCCTCTATCCTTTCTGTATGTGGTATATCTACTTGCTCTGAGTCTTCAAGGACTATGTTATGCAAGGTTGTGGGCATTCTTGGTGCATTGTAACCAAAATCATTTTGTTACCTGGTATGTTGCTAACATATGAGACAAGAGATTGCATCTGCTTGCGCCAAGGAGATCCACTTTTTGACACACATCCATCTTCAATTTGTCAAAGTTTTTTTTTGCAAGTCGTACTTGTGTTTGTACCTATAAAAAAAGGAGAAACTTCAATAATTTAAACTCTTAAAAAACTGCAAGTTTTAGGTAACAAAAGACTAACAAGATTAATTTCTTCTATATAAGAAAAACACTTTGGAACATTCCACATAATAAGGAAGATCCTAAATTACACTTTAACTGTAGAGGACCAGAATGAGAGCACTGCACATCAATATTTTATACATTTACCATCATAACTTGGGAGCTCTGGTGGCCAAGTGGATAAGAAGTTGCACTTTCAATCCAAAAGCAAGCTTTTCAAATCTACATACCATTTTGAGGAAGAAAGATAGGCAATCTGCTTCTGTGAGATTTAAAGCTTCTCAAAACCCAGTACAGGTTCAGCTATGAATTGGTTCTGACGGACTTAACAAGAACAAGTGCTAAAACTGGAATTCTTGGATGATGCGGATGATTAAAGGGTCTATTTTATTGTTCATCACTGTCGAGCTGCAATCGAGTCATAACTGACCCTGCAGTGAGTTTTCAGAGGCTATGAATCACATGAAAAGACTGCTGAGATGGCAGGACTTCTGAGATTGGCTTTTTTATCTACTGCCTTGGGAGACATAATCTCCAGTTACTTCAACTGTGGACACATGATTCACCATTGATCAGAGTCTTCAGTATGACCATCTGCAAAGCCAACATAAGAGAGCGAACTAATTAGCCTATGTGTAGGTATGGTGTAGCCTGACAGAGCCAGACAGAGGCAGGGCCAGTGGTTTCCTATGCCAGAGGCATCTTGCTGTTGACTGAGAAGCTGCATGGATTAATGGACTGCATCCTGCTGTGAACTGGGAAGCTGAACTATATGTGAAGGATTGTGTCTTGCTGTTAACCTGACTAGGGAACGCTATTTACTGAGTTTGGACTTTCACTGTATGACTGCCTTTGCCTCCATCGCCCATCCCCCATGGCCATCTGTTCCCATAGTAAAACCCAAAACTGTGAGTAAAATGATTCTGTAAAGTCTGAGAGGTTATTTGCAATGGATTGCAGACCCAGTAATTAGCAGAAATCGGTGCAGCAGAGTAGAGAGCCATGTCTGCCCTTACGTTGTTGTTGTTGTTATGTGCCGTCGAGTCGTTTCCGACTCATAGTGACCCTATGCACAACAGCCCTAAACACTGCTCTATTCTGCGCCAACTGCACCGCCTCTGACACACCCATCCCGATTACCCCAGTCACCGAATCAATTCATCTCATAGAGGGTCTTCCCCTCCTGCGCTGTCCCTCCACCCTCCTAAGCATGATGTCCCTCTCCAAGGACCCGTCCCTCCTGGCAACATGTCCAAAGTATGTCAGACGAAGCCCCAGAATCCTTGCCTCCAAGGAGTAGCTTGGTTTAATCCTCTCCAAGCTGAATCTTAATACTCTTCTCCAGCACCACAGCTCAAAAGCATCCACTCTCCTTCTGTCCTCCCTAGTCATTGTCCAACTCTCTGATGCATAACAAGCGATTGCAAATACCATGGCTTGTATCAGGCGCACCTTAGTCTCCAGAGAGACACTGTTGCTCCTCAACACCTTGGAGAGGTCCCTAACAGCAGACTTTCCCATCGCGATATGCTTTTTGATTTCCTGACTGCTGGTACCAAGAGTGTTGACTGTGGAGCCGAGCAAACTGAAGCTGTGAACACTCTCAATCTCTTCGTCATCCATCCTGACGCTGCTAATTGGTCCAGTGGCGAGAATCTTTGTCTTCTTGACACTGAGCCTTAGTCCATACTGAAGGCTGCAGTCCTTGACCCTTCGCAGCAAGTGCATGAGGCCCTCCTCAGTTTCAGCAAGCAAGGTTGTATCATCTGCATAACGCAGATTGTTAATAGATCTTCCACCAATCCTGATGCCACAATTCTCCTCATAGAGCCCAGCCTCTCGGATAATCTGCTCTGCATACATGTTGAAAAGGTATGGAGACAGGATGCATCCCTGGCGTCCACCCTTCCCAATTTTGAACCATGCAGTGTTACCTTGCTCTGTTCTGACTACTGCCTCTTGGTCCAAGTATAGGTTTCGTATTAGCACAATTAAATGTTCTGGGATTCCCATTCTTCTCAGAGTCAGCCACAGTTTGTTATAATCCACACAGTCAAATGCCTTTGCATAATCAATGAAACACAGATAGACATTCTTCTGGTATTCTCTGCTTTCAGCCAAGATCCATCTAACATCAGCAACAATATCCCTAGTACCACGACCCCTTCTAAACCCAGCCTGGACTTCCGGCAGTTCTCTGCTGATGTGCCATTCTAATCGTTTTTGGATGATCTTCAGTAGAATCTTGCTTGCATGTGAAATCAATGACACTGTTCTGTAGTTTCCACACTCAGTTGGGTCACCTTTCTTTGGAATGGGAACAGTTTTATACTTCGGATGTTGTTGATAAATTCTCTCTTAGGACGTTAGTAGAGGCTGGATTTAGCCTTTGCTCCTTTAACAACTAACTGCCCATTGTTCTCCAGCAGAGAACTTGGTGGATTCAAACTGCCTGCCTTTGGCTTGGCAGTGCAACTCCCGACCCACTAGGCCACCAGAGCTTCCTGTTAACGTGTTTATTGTTATAATTTTTCTATACCATAAAGTCACAGCTGGTCTTCCAGTAGGTTTTCAGAGGCAGTAAATCCCATAGGAGATTGCCCATCTACTTTCTGAGGAGCAGCTGGTAGATTTTAACTGCATGCCTTTGGGTTGGCAGTGCTATTCCTTACCACGAAGCCACCAAGTGGCTGCTAATGAAAAGTTTATAGGTTTGAGCCACCCAGGTGATCCTCAAAAAAGGCCTGAGTATGCACTTTGGAAAAATCAACTACTGGAAACTATGAAGCACAGCTCTCTTCTGACACTAAGTGGGTGCTGTCTTAATAGAAATGGTATTTTTCAAATTATTTTCTCTTTAAACATTGATAAACTGACTATGTTAGGAAAACAATACTGTTTTCCTACAGTATTTTAAGTTGTCTCTATTGACCATCTACTTACTGTTGTTGTTATGTGCCAATGAGTCTCCTGTGATTTATAGTGACCCTGTGTACAACAGTCCTAAATCCTGCTCTATCCTGTGCCAATTGTATTGTCTCTGACACACCTACCCTCATTACCCCAGTCACTGAATCAATCCATCTCATTGAGGGTCTTCTTCTCTTGTGCTGTCCCTCCACCTTCCCAAGCATGACATCCTACTCCAAGGACTAGTCCCTCCTTACAACATGTCCAAAGTATGTCAGCTGAAGCTTCAGAATGCTTGCCTCCAAGGATCAGCCTGGTCTCACCCTCTCTAGGACAAACTTGTTTGTTCTTCTAGCAGTCCATGCTATATTCAATACTCTTCTCCAACACAACTCAAAGGCATCAATACTCCTTCTATCATGCCTAGTCAATGTCCAGCTTTCTGACGCATAGCAAGTAATTGCAAAGACTATGGTCTGTATCAGGTGAACTTTACTTGCTAGACTAACAGTGTTACTCTTCAGTACTCTGGAGAGGTCTCTGACAGCAGATTTTCCTAATGCAATTCATTTTTTAATTTCCTGGCTGCTGTTAACAAGAGTATTGATAGTAGATCCAAGCAAACTGAAGCTGTTAACAATCTCACTATCTTCACCATCTATCATGATGCTGCCAATTGGCTCAGTGGTGAGAATCTTTTTTTTCTTGATGTTGAATTTCAATCTATATTTAAGGCTGCACTCCTTGATCTTCTGCAGCAAGTGCGTCAGGTCTTCCTCAGTTTTAGCAAGCACGGTTGTGTTATTTCCACGTTGCAGACTGAGTTTTCCTCCAATCCAATCCTGATGCCACATTTCTCCTTCTAGAGCCCAGCCTCCCAGATAATCTGTTCTGCATATAGTTTGGAAAGGTATGGAGATAGAACACATCCTTGGCATACACCTTTCCTAATTTTGAACCATGCAGTTCTTCCCTGGTCTGTTCTGACAACTGCCTCCTGGTCCAAGTATAGGTTTTGCATAAGCATGATCAAGTGTTCTGGGATTCCCATTCTCCTCAGAGTCAGCCACAGTTTGTTGTGATCCACAGTCAAATGCCTTTGCATAGTCAATGAAACAAAGATAGACCATTCACTTAGTCTTCCCTAATGTTAATATCCTATATAATCATGGTACAAAGAATTATCCATGACATAGTCTATGAACTAAACTGTAGAATTTATCTGAATTTCAGCTTGTCCACTAATTTTTTTTCCTTTTTTTTTTGGTTCCAGGATCTAATCCCAAATACCATACGAAGATATTCAGACATGATTTTTAAAAAGTTTCATAAACTTTCAAATGTTTATTATTGACTATATGTACTAACAAAGATCAATGCATCCTGGAACATAGACTATTTCAGGGATGGAGTGTAAGTAAGCAGAAGATTCAGTAATGACTACTTTGCACATTATTTGATAATAAAATAGAAAGTTTAAAATGAACTCCATTAAAAATGATGAAAATAAGTATTTTCCCTTCAACTAATTTCAAGCATCACCACATCTTATTGTGGTTGGAAGAATGAGCAGAATATTCTTTTTTCTCTCAGTTAATTCATGTCCTTATGTTATGTTAGAGATAGCCTAAAATAGAATTGAACAAGCCTGAGAACATATGTGGGTTGATCAGGTGAGAGAGGTGTGTGACATGTGCATGCAGAAGATTGTGAAAGTGAACCCAATTGTTCCCAACAGATCATTCCAGACAGGTAGTGGGCTATGTTTGGTCAGCTGACCCCCAAAAATGTGATGGAACTGACTTATGCTCTCCAGAGCCCCCAATAGCTGATCTCAGAGTGAACAAATTAGTGGCTGTGACCATTCTAGGAATACACAGACTTCTGAACACTAAGATAAGCTTAGGGCTTAAAGGCACTCAGAATTTCTTGTTGCCATTACAGATACACCCAATTGTGAGGATGGAGACAATAAAGGCTTTAGGGATAAGATGATATCTGAAGTGGTTTTAAAACATGACTAGAGAGCAGGGCTT